CCCCCATTGATTCCCGGCATTCAGCAAGTTATTATTCATGCGAAGTGAGCAGGGTATTAGCCCATATTCGAGCAGCAATTGACTAGCTGAAAAGATGACTAAGTTCTGACAAGCAATGTTCAACCTTGTTTGCAATACGCTCTCCTGAATTTTTTGCCAGCACGGGGCTAGTTGAAAGCTGGTGACTCTCACCTAATGCTGTACTGAATGCCAAAATCGCTGTCTGCAGGGTGATTGCAATAGAGTGTTTTCAAAGGTAAACGAGACAAATGAAAATCCACAAAATGTGAAAGACCCCTATCAATGTTCCGCTTTCACGTCATGGTTCCGAGCACTTCCCTACAGTTCTTTATACATATACTTTACGGCGGAGTTTTTGTAAGTGTGCGACCTGTATGCTGCATAATTCAAATGTTCGCAGTCATAAGTAGAACTTCAATGCGTGGCTTATTCTGATTTGCAGCTCTGCTTTGTTGAATTCCTTCTTTTCTATCAGACATCATTAACATTGTCAAAGAGAACGATGCAAAATTCATTTTGGAGCCTAAAAAGAGGCTACGGCGTATCAAAAGAATGGAAAAGATTTGATCGATCATAGTCGACATAGTAGACCCTTGCAGGACCCTGACGCGCACAACTGAGGATCATATTCACAGCCCCTCCCGTCTCCTATCACGTATATGTCTGATCCTCCAGTAATACTGAAATAGAGATTGGTAAACAACTGGCAAAATCATGGAGAGTTAACTGTCTAATTCTCCTGCGCCACGCAAGGTTCATATTCAGTTGGAGCCTCTAATCACGGGCCTGAGCATCGACCTTTCGTCTTCTTTAGAGGCCTGGACGAAGGATCGAAGTTTTTGATTGTAAGCTACTCAGCCAGATATCTCCGGAGCTACGTAACCAACATCTTTCTGACGTCGTACTGGGAAACCCTTCGAAATTACCCAGTACGAAAAGAAATCACTAGAGATTCCACCAGTACTGCGCAACATTAGAGCGGATCACTACAGTAAGGTCCATTTGCATATACTATCTTTACTAACGGGGTGTGCTCCGCAGCACATGCTGGTGAAACCTTCCAAAAGTTTCAGTAGTGGTAGTGTTTCCCGAACGACGTCGAAAACGTTAAAGGGGAGAGCTGCTCGGCTGGGTAGCTACGAAATCCGAAGTTTCGAGCTCTTTTCGGGGTCCTCGAAGAAGACGGAAAGGTCGAAACGTGGAACCAGTTAATAAAGCTTCCAATTATCAACCTCGCGTGGCGAAAGATCCAAACAATTCGGCCAAGGCCGCTTGATGCAGAGGTTCCAACAAGGGATGACATGGAGACTTCTACTGAGCTATTTGTCGTTTCATACATTTTGTTGTAGAAGCAGAAGAACACAGCTTCGGTAACATTGCCATTTCTGTCGAAGCACTGCTCATAATTGCAGCCGATTTCGTAAATGTTTTCATTTGCCATCTAAAAAAGCAAATTTCTAATGAAAATAATCCTCTCATAGCAAAAAACGGGTAACCTACATTCGCGAACGTGAGAATCGCGGTATTTCGATACTTCGTTACGTTGAAAGGTCTGAATTTCGGTACTTCTATTTTCTGGCTGTAATATTCGGCTGGCATCGTCCACTGGTACATGGCATCATAGATTACTCTATTCATTCCTTCTTTTTGAACGTACTTCCCATCAGTGGTACTGAAATCGTCACTATGTAACTACTGTTGAAGGTCCTACTGGCTAGAACGAAAGCTGAGCTCGTTCGCTTACTAGTAGATATTTTGAGCAAGATTCGCAGCAGCGTCGTAGTAACGAGAACAGTCCTGAGTAGCTCTCACCGCCCTTCCTTCTAAGGCGCAGCTCCATCTCTTCAAATATAGTAAATGGCATCTCTTCAAACATAATAAATATAACAAATTCGTGCTAAATAATGAGAATCAGCGCAAGATGAACTTTCGACCGGAGTGTTCTGCAGTGCCGTCTAAAAAGAAATCACCGCAGACGTCCCCATACCAAACATCATATTCTTGGCTGATTTATGACGACATTTGCCTTTGCTCTATGATTCCCATAAGAGGTGCCAAAGGCGGGACGAGTCCTTCTGGGGAGTACAGAAAAGTGCTAAATTTCGGCGCTACTGCAATATAATGGGACATTTCGAAAACGGCTGCCCACGTTTTGTCAACGTGTCTAAAACTATAGGTGTTTGAACGCGTCATGTAGTGGTTTGGAGTCCACACTCACATGTTTTACGTAATATTAGCTCTTCAAAGAAGGAAAGAGCAGAGATGATTTCGAGGCGTTATTGCAAGATGTGGTAGCATCAAGGTGGGGATGCATTTCAACCGCGTGAATCATCTCCTTTCTGTAAGGAATGGCACTAAGCCTTAGAAGAAGAGGCTCCAGATTGCATGAGCAGTTTTTTTTTAACTAACTTTCTTGACCAGTCACACTATATAATCTAGTCTTCCAATGGCCAATGACCTCTTCGCAACATCCGCTTTTGAAATTACGGTGGCTTAATGGCCGTGCGGTTTTGATGACGTAGCTGGATGTGTCTTGATGGAAGGGCTTTGAGGTCTCGTGAATAGGCTCAGAGCTTGTTGCCTTTTCTTTGAGCCGTTTAACTTTCATATAATGATTTCTTAAACCGGACCCAGTATGTCTCACTGATCGCTGTGGTACTATCTAACGACATCTCTGGAATGCGCCATGCATAAAATCAGATAAAGGGAAACAATTATGTAATCAAAAATAGCGGAAAACAGTGATTCAGATAAGTGCGTAGTTTGGGAGTACGATTAGCGGATACTCTTCTGTTCAAATCTTGAACATGGTAACGAGGGACGTGACCCAAACTATTCAGTTAGTATGCAACCAATCTGAGAACAGGTTGGTATAGTTCGAGGTTACCATTAATGCCTAGATTGTGCAAATACGAGTTTCTTGTCACTAGCCATCGTTGTGAAATGCTCCCGAGATCCAGTTGCATAGAGAGTTTTTATTCGAAAGCAGATTTGAGCTAACCATTTGGTAAACGCTTGATGCGGGCGGTAGATATGCTCCTTTGTAACCAGGCGACTTTCCTTCAGCCAATAGACTTCGAAATTCGTTGTGAAATTGCAGAATTTTGTAACGAGATATGTCGTTCATGAAGCGACTTCCTTCATTGCAATACTCTGTAACTATTAAGAGATATGTTTGGAGAGCAGACTGCATTCTAGAATGGCTACCGAAAATCACACTATTTTTTCTTTATTTTGTATTCTGCTATTACAAAACAATTCAAAGAATTAAAAACACTAAGTAACCCAAATGGATGCAGTTCAGAGCTGGATTTCTGCGGCATCAGAAGAAATAGTCCTCCAGGACATAGGACTCCATCACAAATTACTAACCTTGTGGTATTTAAAGGAATGTGGTATTAAAAGGAAAAGGATTAAACTGGTGCTATGAGCGCTTTGTAGTGATGACTGAGCTGCGGAATGACCTGAAAATGGAAAGGAAAGCAAGAGAAGTCTTTGGGAACGCTGAGAAGCCATCAACCTTCAACAAGATCACATCAGAAGAAATAAAAAGATCTTTTCACAAACGATATAGTCCTCTACGCCAATGGACTTCATCACAAGTTACCCTGTGGTATCCTAAAAACAAATGATGCCTATGCGGCAAATGGCACGCCGGGATGGAGACAGCTAGCAGTAAGATTGATTCCATCATTTTGCAAATTCCACGATTTGACTTCTGGAGCTAAAAGATTTTCGAGATTTTGTGTCAAATCAATTCAACACACGGACGCCCGCGCTTCTTTCCTCACATACAGCGCGGACAAAATTACAGGTAAGAAGTGGTTGCCGTTGTCAGTTTTTAATTCTAAACACAAGAAGATTGTTAAGTATATTCTATGTGAATACCTTGAAAATTCAGTGTTTCGTCTTTGATATTGTTACGTTGTAGTGTAGGATGGATTCGTGGCTGCGACGTGGGAGTAACCCTTTCAAACTGCGCTAGAGACAAGTAGAAAGGAAGGTTTATTTAGATCAGAAAAACCAACAATAAATATACAAACAACAAAGATCACGGGGCGATCGGAGGCGGGTTGTATCGATGGGACCGGACCACCGAGCCGAGGTCAGCAACCAGGTGCACGGCGCAATCCCTCTTCCACGTGAAGCCACAAAGGCTCTTTCCCCGAGCCACTAAGGCTCCTCCCAACTGGCCACTGAGGCCAAATCACCGAGCCACTAAGGCTCCTCTAGGCCACTCAGGCCAGATCACCGAGCCACGAAGGCTCCACAACGAGCCACTTCAGCCACTAAGGCTACTTCACCGAGCCTAGGTCCTCCTTCCTTCGGACCCTACGGCTCCCAACTAGCAAGGCTGCTAGGGCACCACACAGATGCCTGAAGACGGTAACGCTGGAGCTGGAGAAGAGAACACTGCAGGTTGATCCCTGAAACGTCAGGAACCACTGCAGCTCTGGAACTGGAGATACTGTATGAGGACACGGACCCCTTTTGTTGAGACTCTCGCCATGCGCGAGCGGCTGGGCTCTCTGCGGTACATTCTCTCTCCACACAATTCTCGCAAAGTACGGAGCCATGGTCGAGAATATCTTCAACCATTATTCACCCTGTTGGGAGTCCTTTGAAGAGACCGTACCGATGCGTATACCGTGCGTACACCACATGCAAATATTGACAGTAGGAGATTCGGTGTGGCATGTGATACACACAGGCTGCGTTGTGTTCAGGTAATGCCTTTCCTTTCATAATTCCTATCGATAAATATCCAAAGAAGGTGCTGAGTTCACCTTTCATTTCAGGCGTGTGAAAGCGTACAAATCAAGCGTACTCTGAAACCTTCACGTGGTTGCTTCGAACATCTTTCAACAATATTCGGAACAACACGTTTCAAGCGCCTAACGTTGAACCACAACTCTGGTGCAACACAGCTTTAATTTGAAAACAAACGGTATATTCAACATACTGCTGGCAATGTTCCCAATGCGAACAACATCCATTCTTGCAGACATCCAAGTTATCCTTTCACCAGATTGGTCCCCGTCAACCGCCGGGACGTTGCTCGCCCGCGTAAGCTTCGGTCTCACTTCTTTCGCTATGGCCCTTTCACTCGTGTACAGGGGGGCCAAAAAAAGAGTCACTCCTACTCACATTCAAGAATTAATTACACTTTGCCAAACCAAACCGAATGAGCTCAATTGCATATTGAAGAGCACATTCTATTCTATCAAAAAATTACATAGGGCCTTCTACACCGACGACATCAGAAGATTTTCCCACGGAAACATGGTTCACGGTACGAGCTCAACGGGGTCGTCGAGAAA